CCCTCTGGGCAGATCCCCTAACCCTAATTCAGACTCACCTCTGTCATGTGTCAGAGCCCCTCCAGCCCTGACACAAGCACCCCCGCTGAGATGAAGGAAGAGGGGGAGTCAGAAAAGTCGGGGTGAAAGATTGAGGATAGGGAGGAGGAGACGGTGTGCCAGCTGGTGTAGTGCCCCCGAGTCGTGACTCATACATTGCCATCTGTCTCACTTAGCACACACACACACGCACACACACACACACACACTGTGTGTCGGTGAAAGTCTCAGCAGTTCATTCATCTTGCATGTATGTTTTTGTGTGTTTGACACTCACACATATAGGTGTGACAGTAAGACAGACGACTGGCGGCTCGTCTGGTCTCAGACGCTATCAACTGTTAGAGGATACAAAAGATACTTGAAACTCATCAAATTTAATTAAGTGAAGATTTTATTCAGTCATGTCACTTTTTTTTCACTTCAAGTCGGTATCATTTCATAGCTGCTGACTTCCTTTTGCTTTGGCTACTTTGCCTTTCCAGTTCTCTGAACTATGTAAATACAGACAATTACAAATGTATACAAAACCAATCCTGGGCAGTTGGTCATATATCACACTACCTACACAGATGCTGATGATTAATTACAGACACTTATTTGGCCCCAGTAATAAAACTGTTACATAAAAGTCTTTTTCAGTTTGCTTTTCCAGATTATTGCTGCATCCTTTCATTGAGCATGCTGTACTTATCTTAAAGCCGCTATAGCAAATCTGGAAAACAAATGAGGGTAAAACATGTTTTTCATGCCTCTTAACAACGTTCTAAGTTAGTATAGATATAAATATGTTGTGGAGATTTGCATTTGTCTAACCCTAACCCAAAAACAACCATCTGGTTGTCGGTCTCACCAATTGGCCACACCTCTGCACTTCCCTGGGTCCTCCATTTATTACGTCCTCGTGTATTTTGCAACAGAACACATCAATATTACCAGAGAAGGAGAACCAGCCAGCTGCTACCACTTCAACTTTAGGACAAACTACCAGAGGAGCTAAAAGACGACCCACTCATTACCAGTGACTATATCTGGCCACGGTCCTTTGATGGCTCAGTCATGGGAGGTTGGGGGTGGAGTTTCTATGGCTGTCTTTCAAACTGTCTCCACGTGCTATTGGATAAAAGGCTAGGCTATCCAGAGTTATCTCTAAAGTTATGCTGCTATAGGCTTAGACTGCTGGAGGATACACTGACCACTTTTCACACTCTACTACTTTCTTCTACAATCTGCTCTTTAACTATTATTTCTTGCTATTTCAGCTGTTAACTTTATTTTTTCTTTAAGTGTTTTTCTCCCAAGAAGAAGCTAAAATGGTGTTCTTCTGAAGTGTGGTGGTCTCATGGAGGGGGCCATCGTCTAGCACACTGCTGCTAACCACTTAAACATTCTCCCTCTCCTGATAATAACTTTTTGTTTTCCTTGACGTTGGGTGTGCTACTGCTAGTTTACCCATTTAATTATAGATCCACTAGAATAAATACAATAAAGTTTATCTCTCGCCAAATAGAATATTTACTAAGAAATCACAATGTAACCATAGACACATTGCTTGGTGTGTGTGTGTGTGTGTGTGTGTGTGTGTGTGTGTGTGTGTGTGTGTGTGTGTGTGTGTGTGTGTGTGTGTGTGTGTGTGTGTGTGTGTGTGTGTGTGTGTGTGTGTGTGTGTGTGTGTGTGTGTGTGTGTGTGTGTGTGTGTGTGTGTGTGTGTGTGTGTGTGTGTGTGTGTGTCTGCTCTGTCTTCTCGATCCCCAGTGAGTCATGGTGGATGGCTGCTTATACTGAGCCAGGATTCTCTGGAGGTTTCTTCCTGTTAAAAGGGAGTTTTCCTGTCCACTGTCGCTATATGCTTGCTTAGTATGAGGATTGCTGTAAAGACTCTTGACACTAGTCAGTGAGTTGATGCAACCTGCTGGGTTCCTTATATAGGAAACATTATTTCTGATTGGCTTAATGAACTGACCAGAATTGGAATGTTTATTATGTGAAGTGCCTTGAGATGACTCTTGTCATTAATTGGTGCTATATAAATAAAATTGAATTGAACTGAACTGAATTGAATTGAATTGAATAACAAACATCGTGACGTACTCACTGCTACAAATGTCCGTCAACGAGGCAGTCCACCATCCTCAGTCCGATAAGACGCAAGTACATCCTGTTTCTTAATTAACTAAAGTACCTCTATCTGCTCTTGACTGAGTCCAAAACCATCACCATCTTTGTTTTTTCAGTAACATCCTTCCCAACAACGAGAGCTATGATTGGCCTACCAAACCAATAGAGCGCTGTGATTGTACCGCTACTAATGTCAGTCAACAGGGCAGTCTGCTATTGCACCGTGGCAAAAGCAGGAAAGGAGACGAAAATGTCTTTAAAAAGCACCGTGCTTGGCCAGCCGCAATAGTGGCCATGCTATGGAGGTTCCAACGGCGCATTGCTAGACCGACATGCAAAGAAAAATAATTTTGATTCGGCAAATAACGGTCTAGATTTTAGACTGGTCTCTGGCAATGTAGGTTTTTGGTTCCGGCAGAAGCGTATCAGGGAAGATACCCAAGGGAGGGGTGTGTGTCCGGTGAGCGTGTTTGGTTCAAAACATAGCTTGTTTGGTGATTTGCTATAGCAGCTTTAATTCATGTTTCAGGGCTATGTATTGGGCCAACTTTTAGAACAAAAAGCCAACATACCTATAATAGGATTAACAATGCATAGGCAGAAGGCTTCCAAAATTGCACGTTTTGCCCTGGTTTGTAGGGAGAGTAATTCAAGAGTGATACATGCTGAATGCATGAGTGTGAATTGGTGATCATTTTGTACATTTTGTATCAGACTAACAAAAAATATCAATCAAGTGTGGATACAATTTTGCAACATGATGAAAGACAGTATTTCATTGTACGGAGACGGCGATAAATTGCACCTGCATTTACAAAAGAGTTTCCAAAATGTCTCAAAATATTCTTGCAGGAGTCACAAATTTGTCTCCAAATGGAGTTGTGACTTGTCTGGAACCTGTCTCAATTTTGTTTCTTATTGCCAGAAAATGCAAGAATCGCAGGCTCAGGCATTTCACTGGAAACACAAGCTTTTGAGAAAATATGTAGCTTTTTTCTCAGAATGACACTGAATTCATTGGTAGACTAACTTTTACATTTGTTGAAACTGCAAATAAATGAATACATTCCCAAGAAAGTCACAAAATGACCTAATTTTGCCTAACGTTGTTCACACTTTATCCTAACTTTATTCATAATTTTGTTACACCTGGCTCGTGGCCAGAATGGAAAATAGCAGAGGTGTGACCAAGTCACTGCTTTGCAAGTCACAAGAAAATCACAAGTATTTCCAGTCAAGTCTCAAGTCAAGTCCAAGTCAAAGACTACCAAATCCAAGTCGAGTCTAAAGTCAATGATGTGGAAGTCCAGGTCAAGTCCATGTTCTTAACTTAGAATTTTCAAGTCATAATCAATTCATCTGTCCAGCTTCAATTTGATGACAATGATAATAAATAAATTCCAGAATAAAAGCTTCTTAAAGCTTTGTTTATTTGCTCAAACAAACAGGAAGTGCAATTGAAACTGATTCTAAACAAAGTGCTGCTGCATGTAGCCGTACAAGATCTCACCCAGAACCAAGAATGATTTATGATTTTTGTCCATGTCGTGCCACTTATGTGCTAAAATATCAAATGTGCACAACTCATCATCAAGTCAACAGATGCAAGTCGAGTCAAGTCACATGTCATTGGCGTTCAAGTCCGAGTCAAGTCGTAAATCTTAATAGATTTTATCAAGTCAAGTCAGAAGTCATTAAAATAATGATTTGAGTCTGACTCGAGTCCAAGCCATGTGACTCGAGTCCACACCTCTGGAAAATAGTCACACACAACAGAAGCTCTGACAGCGGGCAAGTGACATTTGCGTCTGAGTTTCCAGAACATCTTAAAGTATTTGTGACCATTCTCGATATTCTTGGATGAGTCTCAGGGTCTCGTTCTCAAAGCGAAAGAAATGTCAGATAGCTTTAATTGAGTTTGGCAACCAAATTTCAAATAAAATGTAAGTAAATTGAAAACACTCTGTTCCGATTTCTTTTACGTTGACTTCATACATGACCGTAGCAAAAGTGTCAGACTTTTCCAGTGCAATTATAATCTAAAGGATTTATATGGTAAATGTAATTTGTAGGTATTTGTAGGGCAAACATTATTCTGTATTTTGGCTGATTTTATTTAATGAACTGCAGTCTTGCTTCAGAAAATAGCAGTCAAAAGCAAAAAATTACTCATTATCCATCTTATTATGCTCCCATTCTCAAAGATTTTGTGCACACTAATTACCAGAATGTGCACGCCCTGATTATCTCTTAGAAAGCAACACGTTATATTTTGGAAAAAGCATCTCCCAGGAGTGTTAGCTTTTTATTCTGCAAGCTCGCAGCAGCCCTGTTGGAAAAAAAAGGTTCGATATTGGCTGCACCTGTATGTGCAGAAAGTCTTTATGAACTTTTAACAAACGCTTTTGCAAACCACTCACACTGTAAAATTCACGAAAGCCCTTTTGTTGTGATTTTTTTCCCATTACAGCAACGCCCCAGAATTTCAACAAGGCTGATTTTACATGAGTGGCTTTGATTTCCCTAATTTAGCCGCCGTTTAACGGCACATCTTCACCCCCCCCCCCCCCCCCCCCCCCCCACACACACACACACACACACACACACTGTTTCAACAGATCCGTCTGCAGGCTCTCTAGTTATTCACGGCACAGCTGAAGTCATTAGGAGTTCTGCTGAAAATGCTGATTATGAATTAGTTACACATATACTAATTACATGTGCATTAGTGGCTCAGCACTCACTAGCTAACAGCAACATTTGGCTCAATCGACAAAACAAACTCCTTCCTCTTGCATGGAGCTAACAAGCTGTTCTCTGTTTCTCTCTGTGCTTGGCTGCAGGTGTTTCTCGCGGTCGGATCACTTGGCGCTGCACATGAAGAGGCACATCTGAGGAATCCGAGAGGGGTCAGCGGGAGAGGAAGAGAGGGGAAGTAGACGGTGGTGGAGTGGAAAAAGGAGATGAAGCTTCGACTTGAGAAAACTTGGAGAGAGACAGTTTGATGGAATTGGGGAAACACAGCCAGTTTGGGTTGGGGACAGGGAATGCACACAGACAGAAACAAACAGGTTCATACCTCCACAGTGACAGTCGTGGATGACGTATGCTCCGTCACGCCCAGTTCGTATGGGCAGGGGTGTAATACCTGCTCATCATTGGCAGCTCTTTTCTTTTATCATATCTCTTCGATGTTGTTCCCAACGCCAAACTGGACCAGTTGTACAGTCAGTTTGTGTACAAAAAACAAATGTTTCCTCTTCTTGAGACGATCGCCAACAGTAGACCACTTTTTATTTTTTGCTCCTCCAACCCTGCCTTTCCAAATCACCCAAGGGTTTATTATCCAACACGCTGGACGAACGATAATTTGACAGCTTGTCATTCGACCTGTGTCACATCTGCCAATTGGATCCACTTATAAATCCTTCTGTTTTGATGGCATTGGTGCATTAGCTTGAATCGAGTGTTAGATTGGATTTCTCAAAGACTTGTAGATGCGTTGCACTGATGTTCTATGAAGATTGAGGTCATCCAGAGGGCTGGCTTACTTTGTGATCATCACTGACTGAGACAAACTAATCTACTCTGGGAGCTGAGAGTCCGCAGAGACGCAAGGCAGCTTTTAAAGAGTGTTTTTATTCCTCTCTGGGATCTTAGCTGCTCTGGGTTGTCGGGAAAAGGTTGCACAATTGACTCTTTCCAACTTTGGTTTATTTGTTTTGTAAAAAAAAAGTATGTTTGACTGTCTCAAGGTGCTTTGGGACTCGTGAAATGGACAACCACACGCACAAGCTGAAGCAGCGAGCTGACGGTAATAGCACATTGAACAAGAACTCTATGTATTTAAAGGTTATATTGTTTCTAAGAAGATTCTCCTATTTGTTAGAAGGAAAAAAATAAGACGACTTTGAAGAACTCCCCAGAAATGGATGCAGCCAAAAAAAATAGTCATAATGTCTGCTTGTCTGAAATGATCTCTTTGGTCTTTTAAAGAGTGATTGGCACCAAACTAGCAGCCGGACTGAGGAATTTCCTCCCGCAGCACACATTCCTGCAGAATTCTTCCGATTAAGAAGCTCTCCAGTGCGAGTTCAGAAAAAGGAAAGCATTCTAAAGCTCAACGAATCTGGCTCTATGCACAACCACAAACCCTTCTGGAGACTCCCTGACCAGCATGTATGTCGGACTTCTGGAAGGTCTCACATGAAGACACGTTCAATCAGTTGTCAGAGTAATCAATGTGAATGTATCTGTTGAAAGCCTGAACATTTCTGCTACACCCGTTAAACCGCTTGAAAATGGTTGGCAAGATCATCCTAGTCCCCGTTTGTGTTCCTCGTTCTCACATCAAAAGAAAACAAAGACCCGACTTGGAACAATTGGCTGGTCACAGCTGGTAGCTTTTGACATTTTACTGACACTCTTGCAACCAGCTTGGGTGCAGCTTTCCAGTGGGTGGCTAAAATGGGTTAGGGGAGGATGGTTCTGCTCAGTCAGCAACGATAACTGCCCCATCAGCTTATGTAACTGCAGCAGAGTGAAACCCACACACACACACTCACACACACACACACAAAGGGAGGCATATATTCACTCCACTAAAACTGGAATTAACTTTTATCTTGTGTGACCCGATTTCTGTCAGTTGGAAGAAAGAAAAAAGAGTTCTTAGACATCTTAAATTTAGGTGAAAGAAGCAGCTTGGACACGGGTCAGCTGCGATCATTTGGAGAAACTAAGATTGACATTTCGGCATTTTTGAAGTACTTTGAGCTAAAGTCTTCTAAGGGGATCACTGAAATAAAGCCAGGTTTTCACTGGGTTGCAACAGCCGGAGAACAACATTCACAAGGGAGATTCAAAACAATCACGAGAAACCATTTTGAATGGACTCCAAGTGAAAATTTCCATATTTTCACTCAATTTTATGTTTCCTTTCTAGTCACCAGTCAGAACAGTAATGAATATAACAGTGTACAAGCTGAAGTTACCAGACCGTGGCCAGGGAAACTAGGTTCCATAAAATCCCAAATCAAATACCATAAAATAAATCAGAACGAGTAAATATTTTTAAAGGATGTTGGGACAGGATCCAGTATGCAATATGAACATAAGCAGCAAACTAAAAGTTGTTTAAAGACCTACTTAAGTGTGGCTAATAGGCCTGTTTACGTTATTTTGCCTTTTCATTCATTCCAAATAAAGCAAGACTCCTTTAAAGCTTGGTTCCATTGAGGGGGTTGGGGGCAGGTCATCGTTGGCCGGTGTGGATTGGCATGGGTCTGCAATTCTAGGAGAGCGTTTAACCCTCTCAGGCTCAAAATTAGTTTTGATAAAAGGACGAACAACTACGTCCTAGTTGAAAAATGCTCATGAAATACGAATGTGGAGTAACCAGGTAGGTAGGTTTTAACTGTTGCAAATCTGCAACGCCTGCCTCCGGATGGTTAAATCACAGTTTGGACTCTCAATTGGCAGGCAAAGTAACATTTAAATGTGTATCGTCGTGTCCAACCGGTGCTTTTAATCTTAATCTTTTAAATACTTCGGTTTCTTTAAAAACATTAAAATTCCTTATTGATCCATCTGAATGTTATCGCCAACATTGGTGAGGATTGTTTGGAGCTATGAAGCTGACCAAACCTTGCTGGCATTTTCTTACATCCGTGTACAACTAATGATAATACAAACAAGTGAACTCCGGGGTTTGTTTTGCCTGTCGCAAGTAGTGACGTACTTCTGTCCAGCAGCATCGCCCTAGCCGTACCGCCCCCATTGTCCTATGAAGGAGCCCTTGAATGTCCCATAAATGGCGCGGTCCAGGTCAGTTGTTTGGACCGGTTTTACAATCAGGACAAAACAGCGATCCGCCCCATCCCGCAGTGGAACTAGTGCAAGCAATTGACCTCAAGGAAAAATACCAATAAATAATGAAGACTTTTAGGAAAAGTCATTCTGACTCCTTGAATTTGTTTATGTTTATGCATTTAGCAGACACTTTTGTCCAAAGCGACTTACAAGTGATAATCGGCATGTTGCCCTTGAGGCTAACAACAACAATAACAACAACAAAGAATTTCCAGTCAGTCGTAGGTGGCAGTGAGGTAGCATGATGAATCATGGAGAGGAGGGAACAAGGAGTGGACAGTAGAGAGGGGGACGGGTGCAGGGAGGGTGCTAGTTTAGAAGATGCTCTCTGAAGAGCAGGGTCTTCAGGAGTTTCTTGAAAATTGAAAAGGAAGCCCCTGTTCTGGTAGTGCTTGGTAGGTCCTTCCACATTTGTGGAACGATGCATGAGAAGAGTCTGGATTGTCCTGAGCGTGGTGTTTGCACTGCTAGCCGACGATCCTGTGATGACCGGAGCAGCCGAGACGTAAGCCTTTGCAAGAGGATTCAGGTAGATGGGAGCCGTACCATCTCGGACTTTGTATGCTAGTGTTAGCAATTTGAATTTGATGCGTGCTGCTAGCGGTAGTCTCAAAAATCTGTCGGAAAAGAAGATGACCAGTTATAGGAAAAACCCTACCCTTGACCCAACTTTTCCGAAATCTAAAATGTTTAAGATTTGGAAAAATACTTTTCACTCAACGTTGATTTTCCTGAATTAGGCTCACAAATCTCCATGAGATGCAATTGGCTAGTTTTAGGGAAAAGCATCTGTAAGTACGTTTCCCTCAACCAATAGCTTAAGAATTAGGAAAACCTTCGTTACATTTAGGGTTGATGCAAGCCAATTACATTGAAATGCAAACAGTTTTTTATTCTTATTTCTTGTTTTCAAAACCATAAAATTGGCAACATCTTTCTCAGGAAACTTGGCTTATTGAACATGTAAGCAAACAAAGATCAATTTAGAAAGACGGATACATCAAAGTACTGTTCTATTTCAGTGAGTCTAACAGTTCTCATGAGAAATTCAGACTGAAGTTGCTCGTGTTATATTGGCTACGCTGAAATATGGTTGATATAAAGGTTTACTGTTCTGACTCTACAGAGAAGATTAATAATTAAAAAAAAAACACTGCAATTTCACCATTTGGGGTTTAAACCTACCCATCACTGATGGCAGCTCTTTGTGTGTGTGTGTTTCAGTATTTCCACTGAACACTCCTTTTGTTGAATGAATCTGCTGCACATATGTGTGTGTATATGTGAGTTGGGAACTTTTTTTTAAACTCATGTTCCCTATCAATCAAGAACAGGTGGGGATTTTGGAACAAACCCCTAAATGTGTTGTTGTTCATGTTCGTTTACTCAACTTGAAAGAGCTTAGCCGTGGAAATTTCCTCCCAATTACAAGGCGATTTGAAATTCATTCTGGCTCCTCTTGTGAGCTGACATAAACGAGTTGCTCTCTTTCTGCCAGGAGCTGGAAAACTGGAAATTTCAAATGTGAATGTGTCTTCTTGGAAAGGTTTCTGAGGGCGTGGTTTAAGTTCTGTGTCAACCTAATGAACGATTGTCCATTCTGCTGTGCCTGTGTGTGTTTTCTTCGTCTGTTTGTATTTGCACTCTAAATTTTTGGGGAGAAAAAAGAAAATCACTTGCATTTCTGATGTTTCCTGTTTGCTTGTACATTACACTCCATGATCCTCAGTGATAGTGCACTGATCACAAAGTCTGTAAAGTAGCCTTTTTTATAGCACATGCACACATTCAGACACTCAAAGGATGTTTCAACCATGTTGAAGTGTCTTTCTGTATAAAACCTTTAATATTTACCACCTTCTAGATAGCTTCCTAGATCGCCTTCTTAAAAAACTTCACAGCGATTCATGCAATGTTTTATAATACTTTACACAAGGGTCAGTTTTTTGTTGCACCAGTATTTATATGGAACTGTGTCGCATAAATATCACCATCATCTGCAAATCGGAGCATTTCTGAAGATTCTTGGGTTTAAATCTGCAATGATTTTTTTTAAATAAATCAGCCAGAATAATTATGTAAATTAAATAATTTTCAAAGATATTTATTTTATTATTTATTTATTTCTATTTTTATTATTGTTTATGAGTATTTATACATTTCCTTTGAAATAGCTAAAAGAATTAATGCATAAAGTCAAACCAATTATGATCTTTAGGTAGAACAGACATTTGACAGGAAGCAGCGTCTCAGAAAGCTAACCACAAACCACAGAATGAGGTTAAAAATGAATGAGCATTTGAAGCCTGTTGTTACCATCTGTTAAAGGTGTGGAATGTCAAAAACTATTTTTAATACACAGATCTACATCACATTGTCACTTAACATTCATGGACTCACCCATCTTGACTCACGACGGGGAAGGCTGCTTTTTTTTACCGTCCAGGAATCAGTGGAGAACGTCCCAACTAGTAGAAGCTAATAGTTGGCATTAGCAATACCACCACATGACAAAAACTCCTCTAGGCATTCGTGGTTTGTGGAGATAAAACATTCATGTCGCAAGTCAATGGTCGAGTTGTGTTGCTGTTATGCAATCCGAGGCAAGATATCCAAATATCTGGGAATAAGACTCCGAATTCTGTGGTCTGCTGCCACTTTCTGCTGCAGCAGTCTTGTCTGTTCTGATCCTTATGCTTCTGGGGTTTTTTTTTTGTCCTGAGTACGGCATGCGAGGCATCAATTCCTACCAGAGACCTCCGCAAATGTGTTGATTATACACGTTTTGCACACATTTAATCTTAGTTATAAACCATAGACTGGTTTAAATTCCTGGGGCTTATAGTAGGACATCATGAACTAAGTCATTGTTTTTAAACCATATTCAAAAATACTTTTTAAATACTCTCCAGATTAACCCAGCTGCCATCTTAAATTATAATTACAGAATATTGGAATACATAATGTGAAATTCCTTCTGGATTATCTGGATTTACCATGGGACTTCACATATACAGTGTAAATGTGTTTTAAAAAGGCCCCAAAACACTTCAATTTTGAGCATTTTTCCAAACAGAGGAAGTTCAGGAAGCTATCTGCATTGGGTCGGATGGTAATTATTTACAACTTTTATGCGTTAACACAGTTCAAAATGGCCACAAAAACATGTCCAAATAAACACTAAAACCATTAAAGTACATGCAGGCAGATTCATGCAATTCACACACTCACAAACTGCTCTCTTCTTGTGTGTGTTCACCATCCCCCCCCCCCCACCCCCCCGCCACCATGTGAGCATTAAAGACTGCAGCTTTTGCTTTTTGAGAGGGTGGGTGGGGGGCTATATGCATTACTATGTGTCACACCACCTCTGTTTCCACCAGATCTGAATTTTAAATCAAGCGCACCTCCCCTTTTCTACCAGCTTTCTCTCATTGCTTCTTCCCTACCCCCTTCTTCCTTTTATTTTCTCATATATAATCCCTTTCAACTTTTCTCCTCTGTCTGTCTGGCTCCCCCTCTTCTCCCCCTCCACCCCCCACCACCATCTCTCCTCTGTCTTCTTTTTCCCGCTGTTCTGATTTTCTCTCACTGTACAAAGTGTTTGAGATATATCATTTGTATATTATGATGTATGGGTACGATAATGTTCTTTATTATGGAATAATGAGAGATTTATTTTTGTTACTGGTTTGTTTCATAATTCCTTTTTTAAATTGGTATTGTAATATCTCTATGCAAGGAACTGTTCAGTGAATCGTTTTTATTTAAGAATGTAATTATGTGTAATAAATGGTAGAAGCAGTTTTGGCATGGAGTATTCCTGCTTCTTGGCTGGTCTGTCGGTAACAATATGCATCTAATCTCGCCATCTGCAGGATGGAAACATTTTTATGATTTCTTCTCTACCCCCCGACCACGGCGCCATTCAAATTGTTAACAATGCTTATTTCCCTCACTGACCAGAACGTTTATGCGGACAGACTTAGAGTTAAATATGCAAACTGGCGCGTCAAAACAGACAGGGAAATTTAATTTATACCTGCAGGAAGAATAAATGGAGCACCAGCTTTATCTTTAATTCTGATCAAACAGGAAGTAAAGCCAGATACTCTCACTTTGCCTCGATACACATGTCTGACGACTCCCTCGGAGGGAGATACAGCGTGTTAATTACATCTGTTACCAAGCAAGGTGATGACTTATCCACTATTCCTGCCATTTGACCATGACTAACTGATAAAAGGGTAATCGAATAACTAATGGCTAATTAGGGAGTAATTACTCCCTGGTAAATGGCCCTATGCAGTGTATTAATTCTCCTCGGGTCTGGCAGTGAGAAACTCCCATAAGGTTTTTTTTTTTCATTTAATGCTCTCTAATTGAAATGGGCACCCTCATCAAGAAGCTTACATATCTGTCGAACTTAATGTTCTTTTATCTGTAATTACAAGCAGAGTGAGTATTATCCACCTAACTACACCTCCTATGTTCAACGCAGAGGCGCATTATAATATTAGAAGTGACAAGGTCATTTTTTAGCAAAGGTCGGAAACCCAGCAAATATTTTTCAGGCAACATTCCCATCAAATCTGACGGAAATGAGCTGAAATCACAGCCAAATGGTTGTTAATGTGTCCTGGCAGGAAAAGGGATCACAGTCGTATCCGTGTGTATGAAAGATTGACTCACAAAGTCTGTATAGTAGATTTTAAATGAACACTAAGTAGTTTTACCTCGCCCTGGGCTGCCACCTTACCGTGGTGGAGGGGTTTGAGTGTCTCAGTGATCCTAGGAGCTAAGTTGTCTGAGGCTTTCTGCCTCTGGTAGGGTCACCCATGGCAAACAGGTCCTAGTTGAGGCATCAGACAAAGAGCAGCCCGAAGACCTCTTATGATGAATTATATAAAAGGAAACCGTTTTCCCTCGTCCGGACATGGGTCACCAGTAGAGATGGGTACCGAATTCGGTACTTTTTAAGGTACCGACCGAATTCCATAGTACCGACTGAGCACCGATTCACGTCATTCGAAACTGTGCCTCGTTTTGGTACCCGTTCTTCATGACGAGAACTTGCCTAGACAGCTGCTCATGCGCAAGAGCGTAATGTCATCGGTCCCTGCGAGCAAGTTGTAAACAGAGCAGCATGGTAGAAAGAAAGCACGCTAAAGCTTGGGTCCACTTCACTAAATGTGATGGGTAACTGGGTGATGATGAAACCAGCGACAACGATCTAAGTGAGACATCCTCATCTTAATCTGCTCCGGTAGGTAAATAAAATGTTTAAGATAACATTAGCTTGATTTGTTAGCTTCCGTTCCGCTAATGGTGAGTTCGCTTTCTCCTCGGAACTCCGAATTTCCAACTAGAAGAACATGAACGCGCTCTAAAGTTTGGCTTCACTTTACTGAATGCGACGGGTGATTGGGTGAAGATGAAACCAGCGACATCGATCTAAGTGTGAGGCATCATCGTTTTAATCTGCTCCAGCAGCAAAATAAACTGTTTAAGATAACGTTAGCTTGATAAATTAGCTTCCATTGCCACCATTGTTATCAGCTAATGGCGCGTTTGCCTTCTTTTCGGAAATTCTAACTTCCCAGTAGGAAAAATCAAAGAAAAGGGACGGCAAAAGGAATGAAGATGTCATTTTCTGCGTCAGCCCCTTCCTTTTTTGTGCCTCCTGGTGTCCTCCATCCCTCTCTAGATTCCCTCGTGTGTCCCTTTGTTCCCCCAGCTCCTCTTGTGCTCCACTCCAGGTTCCCCCCTTGTGCTCTCTTAGCGCCCTCATGTGTCCTTGTCTGCATCACTGTTATGTGTCTTATGTTGTAGCCCTTTGGCGCCCTCATGTGTCCTTTTTCTGCGTGTCAGTTTAGTGTCTTATGTTATCTTTTCTACTCTTTCCTCCCAGGTCAGCTCCAGCCTCGTTGTCCCCAGCTCAGTGTGTGTGGGTGTATGTGCTATGTCCTCCTCCAGCTAGTTTGTGTGAGTCCTTCCCTCTGTCTTAAGGTAATTGTTTTTTAGTTTTGTGTTTAGGCATTTGCCCTCCTCTGTTTCTGTTTTCCCCATTGAGCTGATTAGTGTCACCTGCCTTCCCTCCAGCCCTCACTCCACACACCTGCTTCCTGTTTCCTTAATTTGTCTCCCAGTCTATTTAAGCCCGGTATTGTCTCTGTCTTGTGTCGGTCCATTAACGTTTGTTTGTTGTTCTTGTCAGTCTTGTTCCTGTTCCTAGCATCTAGTGTTTCCAGTGTCTCTAGTCCTCTAGTGTTTTTATTTACTCAGTTTAGATTATTGGATTTTTGGTTTTTGGCTCCCTGCCTTTGGATTACTCCTAAATAAAGGATTTATTTTCATCATCTACCTCCTGCCTGGTTCATCTGGTTCTCTGCATTTTGGGTCCTAAACATCCTCCTACACCAAATCATGACAGAAGATACACAGTAAATTTAGTTCACAGTAAAGATGTTTGCTTCAGTTTATTTATCAGCTTATAAAACTACAAGGACGATGTTAAAATACAAACAGTTGTATGTTATTTATCGTAATATTTATCAAATATGGTTATATATTGAGGAAAAAATATATTTTGTTATAAAAGAGAATTAACATATTAAACACTCAAAAGTATCTTAAATTGGGACCGTTAAGTACCGGTATTGATTCCTAGGTACCGGGAATTAGTACCGAATCCATTCAAATGTCAAAGGTACCCATCCCTGGACACCAGGGGCCCCCTCTGGAGACAGGCCTGGGGGTGGGCACGTTGGCGACAAGCCCCAACAATGCGAGTGAAAAATTGAAGCAAACCCAGAAATGAAATAAATTGCAGTTCCACCCTCATCCGCTGGGGCTGGTGTCAGAAGCGAGCAAATCCTCATTGACTCCCATGTTAAAAATACCAATTTCACAGCAGAAATAAACATGTTTACAGCCTGGTACCAGAACATGTATTTTGTTTAAATTATCTAGTTTACACTCATGACAACTCTGAGGGGGGTGAATTTTTTTTCTCACTCTTCTGTTTAAGTGTATTAAAAGCCTAAAATTCTGTATAATTAATGAGCATCAGACCCATGTGACCACAGAGCTAGCTCCGTGGAAAGGCCTCAGCAGAGCCTCTGTCTGGCCTGGAAACTGTTCCGGGATTTTGAGTCTCTGTGTTTGTGTATTCTTGTTTGGATATTATTTGTGCAATTGTTGGACAAAATGACTTGCTGTGGCATTAATTGCACTAATAGAGCGTCCAAGGAGTCTCCACTTCATTTTTTTCAGTAAGTAAAATTATATTTATGTATTTTAGGTCACTGCCGAGCTGAGCTTAGATTTTAACATGTACTGTTTAACCATGACATTTAAATGTAATAGGGTAAAACCCAGTGCATTTAACATAATGCTGCACTTTAGAAAATGGGTTGAAAAATAACATGTTGGTGGACCTCTGTTTTCCACCCGCTTCTCCCCTCCCCGCAGCTTGGCGCATCTCTGTCTGATTGCAGCTTCTGTCTGCTGCGCGGGCTGCCGGCTTGTGGAGCTCTGGATGGAAATCGATGTTTTCCACCCGGTTCACCCCTCCCCGCAGTTCTGCGCATCTCAGATTGCAGCGGCGCTTGCCTGCTGTGTAGCTGCCAGCTTGTGGAGCTCTCGGGAGACCTCTGTGTTCCACCCGGTTTTACCCAGCGGTCAGCCCGGCGTATGTCTGACTCAGATGCTCTGGTGTTGTGCACAGTTAACTCCGGTTGTAGCTAGGTTGCTACCTCCGTTAGCTTAGCTCCCACCTCCACGTTAGCTTTGGGTTAGCTTCAGGGTAGCTTGTAGCTAGTTCGACCGGGTATCGTCAGTTGATCCCAGCCTTACAGCCCCACCCTCAGCTCCACCTCTCTTCCCATTTGTGGAATTGTCTGGGCTTGACAGAACCTGTGACACGGTCAAAATGGCGGTGGTGGCCACCTCCCATTTATCTTCAAATATGTGTTGTTGGAGTCTATGGAAACCCATTGTCCAATATTTATATGTCGATGGTTGGCGAGCGCCTGGTGGCCGGGCTTTCACCCATGGAGCCTGGCCGTGCACAATCCGACGAAGAAACTTGGGTCCCCCTTCCCATGGGCTCACCACTCATGGGAGGGGCCAAAGGGGTCGGGTGCAGTGTGTGACGGGTGGTAGTCGAGGGTGGGGACCTTGGCGGTCTGATCCTCGGCTACAGAAGCTGGCTCTTGGCACATGGAATGTCACCTCTCTGGCGGGGAAGGAGCCTGAGTTGGTGTGTGAGGTTGAGAGGTTCCGACTAGATGGCTCTGGCTCCTCTCGCCTCTGGCTCTGGAACCAGTTTCCTTGAGAGGGGTTGGACTTTCTACCACTCTGGAGTTGCTCCCACTGAGAGGCGCCAAGCAGGGGTGGGCATACTAGTTGCGCCCCATCTTGGTGCCTGTACGTTGGGGTTTACCCCAGTGAATGAGAGGGTAGTCTCCCTCCGCCTACATCTCCGCTGGGATGAGAATCAGCTCCTCTAAATCTGAGACCATGGTCTTGATTCACAAAAGAGTAGAATGCCTTCTTCAGGTCGGGGATGATGTCCTGCCCCAAGTGGTGGAGTTTAAGTGTCTCGGGGTCTTGTTCACCAGTGAGGGAAAACTGGAGCCTTAGATCGATAGGCGGATTGGTGCTGCATCTGCAGTGATGCGGGCGTTGTACTGGTCTGTTGTGGTGACGAGAGAGATGAATCAGAAGTTGAAGCTCTCAATTTACCGGTCGATCTACGTTCCTACCCTCACCTGTAGTCATGAGCTTTGCGTAGTGACCGAAAGAA